AAAGCCAGGATGAGGGTAGATTTTGGGGCTCACACAGCAGGATAGCAAAGGATGGGGGAAGAAAAGCAAAAAGTTTAAAAGAGATTTCCTTGAGGAGGCAACAAAGCAGTTGTTATGAGGAGAATGCCTGAATTGATTGGGCAAAGAAATTGAAAAGAGGGCAGGAGACCCAATATTAGTGCCCCAGGCCCTTGAGTCAGGAAGAGTCCACTATGTGGTCAGACAGTTCCCTCTCTGACCATAAGGTGGTGCCAACAGCCCAGACAGGCAGCCCCAAGGGGGCGGGGTGTGCAGTAGGAGGAGCTCTCCACGTGGAAGCCACGTTTTCCACTCAGGCTCTGGAACTCACAGTAAGCCTGAACTAGACAGCCTGTACCAACCTACAGATCCCTGCCTCCTCACCTAAGGGCTGTTCCCATCCTCCACCGCCCCACCTGCTCGTACCTGAGCAAGAACACCTCTGTCCTACAGGGCGTCGCAACCCACAGCAGGATTCAAACTACTTCCCATACCTCTCTTCCACCTCCTCCTTCACATCAGCACTGGGCCTCCCACGTTTCCTAATTCCAAAGGTGAATCTAGTCTAAGAGCATGCTGGAGTCTCATCCTTAAATACCATCACAATGAAAGAACAAGATCTTCTATGGTGAGCACAGATTTGTCTCAAAGGCCTTGACAACAGGGCCCCAGATACCCTCGCCAGTTATCTCTCACTTTAACACCAAACTGAGAAACCCCTATTCCTGATACAAATCCCACAGTATCTCTTCCATTCATTTGCTCCTGCTGGTCCTCCCCCAGAGGAGTGAGTGCCCTCTCTTTTTTCCTTACCTCTACTTGTCAGTATCCTCTCCTACCTCTCAAAGTCTAACCCAAATATCTGCCCCCCCCCAAAAAAACTACTCACTAAGTGTTCAGCTGAATTTAATTGGTGAATCAAAGAGGAAAACGTGGGTCCTGAGCATCAACCACAGAAGCCCAGGCAGTCCTGCCTCATCATTCCTGCCACTGGTTGGGTCTTAAATTGAGAAGGAGGGTCCATCAAGCCAGACTCCCTGCTGAACATTGGGACAACACCAACTGGTCTGTCCTTGCTCCTCTCAAGTCCCAGTTCCCATCTAGGGTGGACTCAGGTCTAGAGAGACACCAAAGCCACAAACTGGGTGTGTGGCGCTGTGTCTGTTCTCAATTCATGTTAGCTTTATAATAATAAAATCATTACTGTCCCTTCCCCACCCCCACTCTCATCAGCCACAATCTGCCAAACGAGGCTAAAGTTCTAGAGCCAGAAGAATGAAGAGGACAGTTAGAACAAAGTCACCTGTCGCTCTCCCCTCCCAGCTCCCACCCCGGGCCCAGGGCCTGGGGTAGCTGTCCCAGGAAACTAACTGCCTACTAGTTCCGCAGAATTTTCTCAGCCATGATGGGACTGAATGGGGTGGGCATTCTTCTCTGGATGTTTGGCCCCAGCCAAGTGGTCTGGAGATGAAACCTTGAAGAATGAATACCTGTGCTTACAATGCCTCAAAATCTAGCTACTGCTTTTCTCTTCCTTCTAAAGAGGCAGTTGGTTTGGGTGGGAGACAGGAATGTCCCTTGTGAGCCTGGAGCACATACCCTCAAGATGAAGATTTGAATAATGCAGGTCCCCTGAGGGCAGCCCCAGGGTCTCATGGCACCAGGTACTGCCTAACCAAAGGCAGTGGGGAAGTGGGAGCCTGGGAGCCTACACCTGCCTACCTGCTGTTCCAGATGCCCTCGGAGCCTTCTGCCAAGTACACTCACAGTGTCTGCATCCAGCAAAGATGGGCTTGCTCCTGCCCCCTGGACCTCTTCTATTTCTGTTGCTCAAAGAGCCAAGTGACCAGACACCCTTTTTAATGCCAATATTGCTCATGTTCTCACCTACAAAATAGGCTTTATGGAAAGAAAGCGGACTCTGGAAATTCAGGGGCTTATGGAGCTCGTGAGAGGCCAGAATGCTGCTGTTTGTTTGTTAGTGTTTTGTCTTTTAAGGATCTACGGAAGAGTGTTTTTCATAAAGTAATAAAGGAAGCTTAAGTTAACTATGCAAACAAAAGCAGGGTGGGAAATGCGAACCACCCATTTTAATGTACTTGTACCCTACCTCCCTCCACAAAAGATGTGAGGCTGCAAAAAGTAATTGCTATTGGAATCCTGGGCATGAGCGCTCGGTTTCTTGTCACGGCTGCAGACTCAAACCTTCAAAGTGACCATTTACTGGGGCTCTGAAAGTCGGGCGGGGATGGTGGACTGCCCACTCCGAAGGCGCCCTCCCCACCCCCTCCTCTCAGACTCTCGACTCAGGGCCGCTCGACGCGCAGGACAGCTGTGGCCAGCGGCGGCCACCCCGGCCTCCCGCCTCCGCCTCCCCTACGCCCGAGTGCAACCAGGACCCTGGGAGGGACGCTCCGGAGGCCCAACGGCGGCGGCCCGAGGACGACCTGGCCCCAGCGTCTCCGCACCCCCTCCCCCAACCGTGTCACATGGCGGCCCCAACGAGGCACAGCAGTGCGTCCCGCCGCGGAGACCCGGGGCCGCGTCGCCGCGGGCAGCGGGTGATGAAACCTCCCCGGCGCATTACCGCAGAGGG